TACTTCAATCCAGCTGAGTATGAATGGTATTAAATAATTAAAAACATTACTTTCTAGGACTTAAAAATATAAACTTTCACCACACAGTGGTGCTCTAGTTCTGGTATATTTACATGGGATTGAATATACTGTGAACCCTGTACTAAAAAAAAATCCAATTTCCAAAGTCTTCTGTCAGTCACCCCTGGGATCGGATTGAATGTTCCCATCCCTTATTGCCATTGCATCAGTTTTCATTTTCCTGTAGGAGAGATGATTGCAGTCTGATGCTTCGGTGTTGAGAGAGAATTAGTTCTCACCTCTCTTTTTGTTAAACAGAGGCTCTAAAAGAAAAACTGCAGAAAACAGGTGTTCGAATTTTGACTGCGTTAGGAAAATACTTTCAACAGTTGGACAAGGAAGGACACGGGCTTTTAAAGAAAGCAGATTTTAAGCAAGCTTTGAATGTATTTCACCTAGAAGTGCCTGAAGAGGTATGTAGCACAGAAAATGTTCTGCAGTGAATAATGTTTTACTCTTAGGGGGCAGTATTCCATTTCCTACTGAAATTTTGGTAGTTGATTTGTTTCTTTTGTGACTTGCTACCAGTGTGAAGTTACCTGGCTGCAGGTCTTCTTGATTTTAAACATTTCAGCATTCATTTCTCTTTCACGTATTTATTTAAAGTTTTTACATTTTTTATTTATTTTTTTATTAGTATCTGTATGTGACATACAGTGAATGCATTCACCGGGGCATGTGGGTGCTTACACATGTGGGGCCCTGACCCCCTTTCCTCCCTGTTTCCTCCCGCCAGTGTCTTCCCGTCCCAAGAGCCCTTTCCTGTTTCCACAACTTTAGCTTCCTGTTTACTGTCATCTTTCTCTGTACTTTGTTCTTTAAATTTGTTGTATACTGGGTTTCCTGTGTAAAAGAAGCTATCTGCTGTCTAACCTTCCATTGTCTGATGTATTTCGCTTAGTATGGTGGACTCCAAGTGTGGTCCTTTTCCTGCAGCGACTTAAATTTATCATATATTTATTAAGAATGTAATGTCCAGGCATTGTGGCAAGTTCTGAGAATATGCACGCCACTCTCATGACCTTGTAATTTAGAAAAATTGATTATAAAGTAATATATGTGTTAAGCAGGGAATATTTTGGGAACACATGGGATGGTACCTAACTCAGAGTTAGGTTACAGGGAAGGCGTGGATGACCGCTCAAGGATGCTGGGAGGAGGACAAGCACACAAAGGCATGGGCAGTGTGGCCTGTTTCTGGCCTGCAAATGTTCCTCTTCACATACACTGTTCTCTCTGTGTGAAAAAGTGCCTATTAGATCTTTACATACTAGTTTTTCTCTTTGTTCAAATTAAAAAAATCTTTTCATATATTTATGTATTTGGTATAGGGTCTCGCTATGCGTCTCAGGCTCATAGTGACCCTTCTGTTCTCAGCCTCTCCAGAGGTGGGATTACAGGTGTGTGCCACCATGCCCAGTCTCTGGCCAGCTCAGCACACCCCTAGGTGGAGGTGGAACTCCGCAGGGTGTATCTGTGGGCAGGTCCAGCAGGGCATGTGGTGCCGGGGACTGATCCCTGGTCGTTTCGCTTGCCAGGCAGGTGCTTAGACTGCTGAGCTGTCTTCTCAGCACCCCCCCCTTTTTTTTTTCAAATCAGACTTTTGTCTCTAATACTCTCACACCTCTCTCTAAGGGAGCACCACAGTCTGATCTCTGGACCTTTCTAGTTCACATTTTATTTTCTTCGTGCCACTTTGTGCTTATTGGTTGTGCTTGCCAGTAATATGTAAGTTCCATGAGAGAGGCGGCCCACTGCTTCTGGCTCTCTGCTTTTCTTGTAGCCATTGAAATAGAATTGGGCATATGGAAAGTGCAGAATGCATAGTGCATTGGTCTGAATGGGTAGAGAGGTGGAAGGAAGGAGAACAGCATGATGGGAAATAAGCATAGGAAATAAGCATGGAAGGAGAATAGCATGATGGGAAATAAGCATGGAAAATAAGCATGGAATGAGAACAGCATGATGGGAAATAAGCATAGAAGGAGAACAGCATGATGGTAAGTAAGCATGGGAAATAAGCAAAGTGTTGCACACCCAGCTAGGTTTGATTGTATTCTAAGAGAACATGAATTTGGTTCACATCAACAACTTCAGATAAATAATTTTTCTGCATAGTTCCCTTGTACTTGAGATGGTCTTGCCACAAGGTATAATGTATTTTGTGGATGGAATATTGGAAATTATATTTGTGAGATTTAGGTTTAAGTTCTAACTTGAACTTAATTTTTATTTTAACTATGAGGTCTTCAACAAGTCTTTCAATGTTTCTGATTACAGTCTCTGCTTGAGCAATTCTGAGATAATTGTTATTGTCAGAGTTGCTTGGAAGCTCAAATAAGGAAATTATATGGGGAGATGCCTGATCGACTGTACAGCTCTGTGCCAGCAAGACGTTGCCTGTCACTTTTGTGAAACACTTGTCCTTTGGGTCTCATGACGCTTAAGCTGTGCCTCACACCCAGGACCTTCACCTTGTTCTCTCATGGGTAAAATGAGTAGCAGCAGAAGGAAATTTGAAAGCCCTGGTGTCTTTATTGACAATCCCAGAAAAACAGTCAGTAATTGAAGTCTAGAGCCCAGGAGGTCCGGCCTCAGTTGTACTGGCCGTGCATTAACGCAGCTCCTCCCTTCTGGGGGTTTGCTAAATGTTTATGAATAAAACTACAATAACATCGTGATACCATATAGTACAAGAATTCTCATATATTTGAAGAAATATTCGTGTTTTGTTTCCTGCTATTTATCACTGAAACCTGCTCATTCCCTGGCAAACACAACAAGGGGTGGAAGAGTGAAGTGTTAAGAATCATCAACCTGGGTCTAACTGGAACTAGAAAATGTTTGTAGCAACCCATAGTCATTCTTCATTATTTGAAATAAAAAATTATATATGCACCTCAAAGCCTGGTTTATATAGAAATACTATCCATGAAATCACCTTAGCTTTTTTTTTTTAACTGAATGTTCTTTGTTTTGTACCATATCTAGAGTTATATAAATTTGTTGCTACTTACGTAAAATTGCTTAATTCTTAAAAGTAACCTCTTTTAAGCTTAAAAAAAAATTCTTTTAGTTCTAGTATTCCTGGAGTTGGGTGAGCAAATCTATCTTCTGTCCTATTATTCATATTTTAAAAGTCAAACTCATTTTCAATTTAACTGCACAGTTTAAATGTCTGTACCATACAGGAAATTATGTATGGATTGTTGAGAATCGAAGGGAGGCAGGGCATCTTGAAATATAGTTCTTCTAATTGAAGTTTTATTTGAAAAATTTAGGAGGAGATGAAAGAGAATATTCATTGAGTACTTATTTGCCAAGCACCTTGCTAGTGGTTTTATTTACATTCTCATTTAAAGCTAACAATTTGATTGAAGAATTGAAAATGTATTTATTTGAGTTTAAGAGTGCAAGCTATAATTTTTCAGTTGTTAAGAATGCTGTGAATAGGATATTGCATGAAATAGTGCATTTATCAAAGAAGTAAATGGTAATAGGAAAGTGAATGAGCTGACAGAAGGGCTTAACTCAGAATTACACTTTTCAGTGTAAATTATAGAACACTCTTGAGTATTCCGATCTTCTATACTTTCAAGCATGAAGACTAGCAGAAAGACCATTAGTGCTCACAGTACTGTTGGAAATATTTCAGCATCTGAAATGCATTTGAATTGTCACAGATATAATACCTTTAATGAAATAGTCAAAACCAACTACATGGTAATCACTTTTTTAGTACATAGGAATTGAACTTAATGCAACAAATTTGTTGTCAGAATACAGCTGGATTGTAGAGGTAGGGGTGAGGGGTGCAGCTCATGCCAGCAATATGGAGAGTGATATTAAGGGCAAGACATTGGTGAAAGGGGACAAAGTTTTGTAAGATAGGAGGGCAAAGTTCTGATCTGTATTATTGCGCAACATAATGACTGTAACTAATACTACTGTATTGTATGTTTAACGGTAGCTAAGAAGGATTTTAAATATTCTCACCACAAAGCAATGATGAATATCTGAGGTGCTATTTATGCTAATTTGTCTGATTTAATCAATCCAAAGTGTACCTGTATATTCATATGCCACCTCATCTTCATAAATATCGTTAATAACTGTCAACAAATAATGAAATAACTTAAAATGTTTTGTGAGGTACTGCCCTACTCACTGGTTCTTTTTTCAAAGTTTATTAGAACATGTTTGTAGTACATGAAGCTCACACTCATCTCAGGGAGTGCATGTAACTGAATACAGAACTGGTCACCTTTGTGTCCCTTCATATAATTCTCATTGGGGTGTGACTGGATTTATGATAATTTTTTCAAAAATATTTTGGTTAGTGTGCAACTTTACTTCTGAGTAAGATTTTATTGTGACCATAATAAATATGCATTATATGACTTAAATATATAATAAAGATTGCTGAATACTTTTAGGATTTTGAGTCTTCGTGGGTAATTCTGAATGACACCAGCTGTGGAAAAGACCAAGTTGATTATGGAGAATTTAGACGTGCCATTTTTGGTGAAATGAATGAATATAGGAAATCATTTGTTCGAAAGGTAACTGTTAAGCAATCTCTTAAATTATTACTTTTAGTTGGTTGTTACGTTCATTGGTTAAAAAAGTCAATAAATTAGCATTTAAAATGTGTTTTATTATTTTACCTATCATTCAGGTAATGTGCATATGCATATGAAACTTATCAAAAAACTCAGAAAATAACTTATGCATGTGTTTTAGAAAGATACATAACAGGAAAATAAAAATTGAAATCACATTTTATTCCTAAATGACTAGCTTTATCAATGTAGTGAAATAGGCTCCATCCTGTTTCCTGTGCCCTAGAGTTGGTATAAGGATGGAATGAGATAAAGTTCTTAGAATTGTGACTGGACCAGTGTGAATGTTCAAAATGTTACTTTATATGAAGGTTAAACATATTTTTCTGGCCTTTATAGTATGCATATTGAATGTCAAAATGAAGATCACAGGCTGGGGAGATAGTTCAGTGGTCTAAGTGCTGGCCTGGCAAGCACAAGGTCCTGAGTTGGATCCCTAGTACTAAAAAAAAATAGTTTTTTCTTTTTCTTTTTTGTATTTTTTAGGGAAGGGTCTACAGGGTGTTCAGGGTCTCACTACTAGATCAGATTCAGTAGTGATCTGCTTGTTTTCAGCCTCCCAAGAGCTGGGATTACAGGCGCACACCACCACACCCAGTCTCAATTGCTGGTTCAGCATGTCCTGGGGGCGGGTCCAGCACGCAGAAAAAATAAGTGTTTTTGTTTTTTTTTTTTTTTTTTGGCAGAACCAGGGATTGAACTCAGGCCCATGTGTTTGCCAGGGAAGTGCTTATTCCACTGAGCCATCTCCCCAGCCCTATGGAAAAATAGGTTTTCGTATCTAATGATTTCATATAAAAATAACATTTCTCTCTTTAGGCCTTTATGAAACTAGATTTTAGTAAAACTGGGAATGTGCTTATTACGAACATAAGCAAATGTTATTGTGCAAAGAAGCATCCTCAAGTTATTTCAGGTAAGTACTATGAGTCAAAATGCATCAGATTTCTAAGTGTTATAGTGTAATCTTTAAACACATTCATTTAAATCATAAACTGAGAACATTAAGGCAGGAAATACTTTCGGTCTGACCTAGAAACTTGAGAACAATTTGCTCTTCTTCATTGAAAATTCCCAGGCCTGTTGCCTGTGCTTGCTTGTTCCTTCACTATTTATAATTGAGGTAAAATTCTATGTGTCACTTAGAAAGAGTGGAGGGAGGAGGAGTTTGTTGAAAGACCAGAACTGCTTTAGAGACTAGATTATTGCACTTACAGGATCTCAGCAGCGAATTTATTGTACCTGCTTATGTATTTATCCATACTTGGGGATTTATTTAATTTTATTGAGAAACAATGAACGATGAGACAATTTCAAAACCGATTAGTAGGACGGTTTCAATAATTAATACATTGCATATTGTTGTCTTAATGGTTATTCATAGTACAAGATGCAGACATGATATCCTGTCCAAACACTAATAGTTCAAATCTTCTCATCGAATTAAAAGAAAGTAGCTGTATATCTATCGTAACTACTTTGTATATACAGATACAAAATGGTCCTTAATTTATACCCCCTTTGTTTAGTTTTGTCAGAGATGGGTATTCCATTGCCATTTAAATATTGTAGGTGCGTGAATTCAGCAAAATAATCCAATCTAGTCCAGTAGTCCATAATAGTAGTGTTATCTGTAGGACTGGCAATGTCATTCTGGTCTTCTCAATGCATGCTGCTTCTAATGTTATATCAATTACTGTTATACTGTCTCTCAGGCAAATGTTTTTTTTTTTTTTAAAGGTAATAAATGAAAACAAGAGATAAGAAAAAAAATGTCATAAGACTGTCCTGCTACAGTGCTGCATATGGCTAGATTTCTAAATTTCTGGGTAAAAATGTGTAATAGTTTATTCCTATTTATTTAAATATTTTTTGTTTTTATCTTTTTTCTCCACATGCTTGTTTTTTTGTTTTTTTTTTTTTGGGAGGGGGTACCAGGGATCAAACTCAGGACCTTGCAGTTACCAGGCAGGTACTTATGCCACTGAGCTATATCCTTGGCCCTTTCTTCACATTCTGTAGGGATTTAAAGTTTAACATATCAATACTTGATGGAAAATGGAAAATACCTGTTCCATGTTATGTCTAAGATGTTTGATATTCAGAAGGATAGTGAGGTGAAGCTCAACTGCCTATGTTATATGGTAATAATATCATTAAGTTTCTCTTCTGGAGGGTTAACAACTTAAGTTTGCACACCAAAAATTAGTGAAAAAGAAGGGTTGCAAGGACAGCCAACATTTTGGCCCTAGCCTTTCAAGGTCAGTGAGGACTCAGGACATAAGAGAACCTGTACTGTAATATCCTGTAATTCAGTGATGTTCTAAATTTTCTGATCAAAGACATTATAGGCCCAAAGAGGAAAGTGATTGACAAGTGTGCCTAAGAAGAGTCACATGGAGTGGAAACATTCTCTCAGGCTTTCACAGAGAGAAATTGGTCAGGCAATGGCCGTGCCTCATCCACATGGCTGACACTGACAAAGGATCTGCAAACTGTGGTACAGGGTTTTAGGATAAATCCTGAGGGGATTTGACTGATCTTGTCAGATACAAAAGTTACATTTCTTGTTATATAGGTCTTGCTTTATGGACCTTTATGGTCTTAACTATCCAGCAGAAAAATATAAAAATGAGGTGTAAAAAGTAATGCCATATTAATATGCTGAGCTGCAAAATGGGATTTGTTTTTTTATTTTTTGTATTTAGTGCAGGGTCTACAGGGCCTATAGAATCTCACTACACAGATCAGACTGGTAGTGATTCTCCTGCTTTCAGCTTCCCAAGTGCTGGGCTTACAGATGCATGCCACCACACCTAGTCTCAATCACTGTCTCAGTGCACCCCAGGGACAAGGCCGGCACATCAGGCTGGGATAAACCTCTGACCCCTGCAGTCTGCTTAAACAGGCACTTTAATCCACTGAGCTATCTGTCTGACCCTCTATACTTGGAGATTTATGACTGAATAAGGGACAGTCTTTGTTCAGGGATTTGTACATGTAATGGACTTATGCCTTTTTATTCTAATTTCATTTGATGTACAAAAGCTTTTTAAAAGGATGAAATCCTAGTTGTTAATTCTTTGAAGTGTTCAGAAGTAGTTTGGGTTTTGTTCATGAAGTCTTTGCTTTCCCCTATGTCTTGAAGACTTCTGCCTACTTTCTCTTCCCATAGATTTAATGTTTCTGTTTTTATATTTAGATCTTTGATCCAGGGTGACTTTAGTTTAGTGCATGGTGATAGACATGGATCTGATTTTGGTCTTCATCATGTGGAAAGTCAGTTTTTGTAGAAACATTTATTAAAGAGGTTATCTTTCTTCCAGCGAACATATTTGACCTCTTTGTCAAATATAAGGTGGCTGTGTGTGTTTGTAGTTGTGTTTGCACTTTCTGTTCTGTTTCATTGACCCTCAGCTCTGGCTTATTTTTTCCTAGTATCATGATGATTTTATTACAGTAGCTATGTAGTATAATTTCAAGTCAGGGATTGTGATGTCTACTGACTTGCTTTTGTTGCCCAAAATTGCTTTTGGTACTCCGAGTCTCTTTCTGGTTCCAGATGAATTTTAGGAATATTTTCTCTAGTTCTGTGAGGTATGCTAATGGTATTTTGATTGGGATTGTGTTAAATCTGTTACAATTTTTGGAATATGGCCCCTTTTCACTATGTTGGCTCTTCCTATCCTTGAGAAAGGGATAGTTTCCATTTTCTGAAATCCTCTTTGATCTGTTTTTTGTCAGAGTAGGTAATTTTCAATATATAAATCTTTTACTTCCTTGTTAGATTCATTCCTATGTAATTCATTTGTTTGGGTGCTATTGTGAAGGGTGTGATTTTCCCAATTTCTCTCTCAATAACTCTGTTGTTTGTGTACAAGAATGCCATTGATTTTTGAGTATTGTATCCTGCTGTACAACTAAATATGGTTATTAGCTCTAGGAGTCTTTTGGTGGCGTTTTTGGGTCTTCTATGTAGAGTATCATGTTAACTTCAAATAATTTCACTTCTTCCTTTCCTATCCTTATTCCTTTTATTTCTCCATGTAGACTAATTTGTGTGGCTGATATTTTCAGAACTATGTTGGAAAGGAGTGGTGATAGTAGACACCATTCTCTTCTCTCTTGATTTAGAGTGAACACTTTCAGTTTTTGTTCATTTAGTATGATGTTGCCCAGTGGTTTGTCATAGACGACTTTTATCAGATTGAGATAACGGTCATCTATTCTGATTTTCTGTAGGTTTTTTTTTTTATCATGAATGTGTGCTAGACTTTATAAAATGCTGTGGTGTATCACATTTATGGATTTGCATATATCGGACCATCCCTGCACTCCTGGGATAAATCCCATCTGGTCATGGTGTATAATCTTCTTCATTATTTGTTACATTATTTATTCGTGTGTTATTGAGGCTTTTTGCATCTATGTTTAATAGGCAGATTGGTTTGTGGTTTTTTTTTTTTTTTTTTGGTTGTTTTTGGTTGAGTCTTTCTCTGGCTCTGGCATCAGTATAATTCTTGCCCTTAGGAATTAGTTAGGATTTTTTTTTTTTTAATTTTAGGGAAGAAACTACAGGGTGTTCAGTGTCTCACTATTAGAGTGGACTTGTAGTGATCCACCTGTTTACAGCCTCCCAAGAGCTGAGATTACAGGCACGCACCACCACGCCTAGTCTCAACTGCCATTTCAGTGTGTCCTGGGGGTGGGGCCAGAACAGCAGGACCAGGGATCGACCCCTGGCCCCTGTGCCTGCACCTGCTTGCAGGTGCTTTAATCCGCTGAGCTATTTGGCTGGCCCTGAAGTATTACTTCACTTTCAATATCCTCAAAGAGTTTGAAGAGTATTGGTATTAGATCTTCTCTAGATTTCTTGTAGAATTCCGCAGTCAATTCATCAAGACCTTCACTTTTCTTTGCTGCTAAGTTTTAATTACATTTTCAATCTCATTAGCTAGTACTGGGTTATTGAGAATTTTTATATCTTCTTGATTCAGCTTTTAAAATTCTTATGTATCTATAATCTGTCCATTTCTTCTATGCTTTTCATCCTATGAGAGCAGAGACTTTTGAAGTAGGCATTGATTGTCTTCTGAATTTCTACAGGATCTGTAGGGGCTTCAGCCTTATTAATTCCTCAATGAAGGAACATGAGTGTTTTGTTTCTTTCTTTTTTTTTTTTATAAACCTGGCTAAGGGTTTATCAGTTTTATTCATTTTTTCAAAGAGCCAACTCTTCAATTTATTAATTCTTTGTATTGTTTTCTTTTTGTTAATTTCTGCTCTGATCTTTATAATTTCCTCCCTTCTATGGGCTTTGGGTTTGTCTTGTTCTCCTTGTTCTAGAAGCTTGAGGTGTAACATTAGGTTGTTTCCTTGTGCTCCTTCTGTTTTCCTGATGTTAGAGTTCACTGCTATAAATCTCCCTCATAGGACTGACTTCATAGTGTACTGTACATTCCAGTATGTTATGTCTGCATTCTCATTTAGTAGTTGATATTGTTTGATTTTTTTTCATTTTATCTGTGGCCCATTGTTTTTAGGTGGGCATGTTTAATTTCCATGTATTTATGGAGTTTTTGCCATTAATTTTTAATTTTATTGCACTATGGTCACATAATATGCATAGGATAATTTCAATTTCTTTGCTTTACCGAAGCATGTTCTGTGGGCTAGTGTATAGTCTATTTTAGAGAATATTCTATGGATAGCTGAGAAGAATGTGTATCCTGATGATGTTGGGTAGAACAGTCTGAAAACATCTACTAGGTCCAGTTCTTTTCACTATCCCTAGCTGCAATTCTGTCTTCAAGATGTGAAATCCCATCCTCTCCTTTGTTCAACCTGTTGCATTTACTTTCAACGAAGGTTTCAATCTCTTGGATTTCTGTTTGGATCTGTTTCATGGATTCTACT